GAGAAAGCAAGCAACGTGGATAGGGATGAAGGATTGTACCCTCAACTTTTTTATGGACCGTTATTTAGCCGTGTGTTAGTCCCTGGTTCGAGGTTGGCAATCTCTGTGTCCTTGATTTCTGCAGGTTGTAGATTTTCTATATGTTATATCTTCAGGACCAGGTGCCGTATCTTTTTGTTTCTCTAGTAAGCCTTTCATCTATTAACAAGACTATCCACGTAGAAAAAACTTTTATTCATCCTCCGAATGGGAAATTGTATAGCACTGTTGGCATTTTTCAAGGTCCGCCCAAATTTTCAAATCTCCAATATTAGAAGTCATGATGTGTTGTAGACCTGCTCCGCCAATGGTCGCTTATTTTCTGCATACGGCTCAAGGTTTTACTATTTGCACTTTAGACCCTCCTCTCTATGCGCTTTCCATCATTTCCCCAGATGTTTTAGATGTCTCCTCGCCTTCTTTTTCTTCTATAAAAGTCGAGACAGGATTTTCTTGTTTCTCTATCCTCTTCTCTCTAAAAAAATCTTTACTTTCTAATATGCTTTTGCTCTACTTTTTATACTCCGCTCTCATGGTTATCAATGTTTCTGGCTCTTCTTCTTCGACCTCCTTTTCACCAGGGCAATTTTGTAGGCCTCTCCTTCTCTTTGCCATCCAGGGAGCCATGCCTACTCGGTATAACATTTGACCAATTGCATTGATAGTCCTCCCGACGAGGCCGAGAAGTGCGAGACCTCCGATTCGTACACCACTGCTTCCTCCTTGTATTTGGTTATATCTTATGACCTTCCTTATTTGGAGCTTGGGGATAGATATGCAGGGAGGGGCAATCGAGCGGACCGTCCTCCCATGGGACGCATCATCGTGTACTAGTAATGCTTTTCTTTTGGCTTTCAAGGCCGGCTTACGGATGTTAGGGTGGAATTGTGTTGTCGGATAATAACACCCATATTTTACCTAATTTTACTATCATAAGTGAATACTCATTCAAACATTTCACTAAGATTTTAATGCATAAATACTAGAATTTGAGTATTTATATGGTCAAGACTCTTTTCCGGAAATCAAAGTAAAAATGATGCAAAATATAGCAAAAAGGAAGATTAGTGAAATCAGTGCAAGATGGTACAAGTCCAGACCCAGATGAAGACCTTCCCACCACGAGATGAAACTATATTTTGATGAATATATAGGCTGAAGTACTACCTTTCACGCTGAAGTGATTTGAAGATAATGCTACAGTTGGATCTCAAGTTACAAGGCAAGGAAGAAGGTCTGTCAAGTAGCAGAAAATCATTGTTGGCCGCGCCAGAAAAGATCTACTGCCGGCCCATGATCACTCGGTCGAATGGAGCTTTTAAAAGACATTTTTAAGCCCATTTGCAGCTCAACTCATTTTTCGAGCCGTCAAACGCATGTATGGCCTAAAAAGACGACCTAGAACACTCTAAGACGTATAAATACTTAGTATTAGGTGTTTTGAAAAACTGTAACTCAATCAAGAATGGAATTCATTCATTCAATACAATTTTTTACAGCCACCAAGTTTTATGCTTTATTATGTGTGTTCTAAGGCAGAGATAGATTTACCTCTTGGAACTTCTTTTCTTTACTTTGATTAATCGAAAGATGCACTTCAAAATAGTGTTTTCGTTTCTGTTAATCATGTGCAAGTAGTTTATTTTTGTTGGGTGACTTTCAATAGGTTCGTAGAAAAATTTTATTAACCATTGGTACTCTTCTATTCATTTAGTTTTGTTCTTGGGACTTTCTTTTGTCAAGTTTATTTTAACAATAGGTTTTAGCATCATGCACTAGAATCAATCATCTTAAGATTTCTAGATTCATTAACATGTATTTAGAATCCTTAACTAGCTTAGACAAGCGAAAAACGTAAAAGGACTAGCCGCATCACTTGCGTAGATTTGTGAGCTATATAACGAATCTGATTTTATATACGACGTATTTGTTGAGTTTATAGGATGTGAATTGTATACCTATGAGGTTTTCGAAACATAGACAAACTCTATCACAAATGTGTTTAGATTATGAAATAGAACGATTCCAGTTTGAAAAAATCCGATAAAGTTCACGGCTAGCATTTAGAATTTCATGTTAAGTTAACCCCTAAGAATTCCATGAAGGATTCCCAACGTCTTCTCCTTATTTGCTAACTTGCATATCCAAATTGTTTGAATCATTATAAACATGTTCTCAGAACTTACATTATCAACATGCTTTTTGGCCGGTTATGCCATAAGTTCTATTACCGTGGATTATTTGGGAAAAAGATTGAAATCAAATAGAGAATTGAATCCAATTAAAATACATTAGAAAGCAATTTGTATCTTGCACGGAGTTATCTGTTAATTCAAATTTTTTTTTTTACTTTATAATTATGTTTATTTATCTGTTTTTCTTTTTTCTTAGTTTTAAATATTATTTTTATTACTTTATTATTATTAAATATGTAAATTTATAGTTAAATATTTTTCTTAATATAAACTGAGATATATTAATTGTGAAGAAATTTTATATATATATATACTTATATGCTGTTGTAAGCATGTATGTATTCTACTGAATATTTGTATTCAATTAGCTGTTTTTTTAATAGCTTATTTTAAGTAAAATTAATAAAGTAAATTCATCATCAATCTCATTCACTCTCTTTATATTTTATTTTAATATTGTTCTGATTTTTGTTTTAGTAGAAAATTTACAGTTTTTTATTTATAGAGTAAGTGTTTATTTTTTATTTTTTTAAACAGAAGTCATGTATAGGTCAAATTTATAATCTCTCTTCACTGTAGTTTAAAAACTTTTGAATCTAGATTCTTTTCTGTTGAAGTATCTGTATTTTTTTTCTGTCTATAACGTTGTTGATAAATTTTAATATTTTCTATTAATTTTCATAGATTTTAGAGATTTTTACTTATTTGTCTTTTTTATGTGCCTTGTTCATAACTTTTCCAACTCTGTTTCTACGTTTTATTTGATTCTACTTATAATTAACATTCTGAATTATTATTAGTTTTTTGGTTTGTAGAGTTAAAAAATCATATTATATAAAGGCCCAAACAATTTATATAAATATATATAATCTCATCAAAAACAAAATTAAATTAATAATGTGGATAGTTTAGATAGAAAAAGAATTACCTGAAAATATATATAATTTTTGTTTTGCAAAATTCAGTTAAAATAAAAACACATGCAAACCTCTACGAAATACATAAATGCCTAATATTTGTTAGAGATGGGATTTATACCCCTTTTAAAGCCCGACATCGATTGAGATCGGCCCATCTCGAGAACCTAAAGAATATTTAGGTCGGCCAGATAAATGGAAATCTTTCATTTATCAGACTAAATTTGGAAAAGATGGAAGATTGGTCTTATCGCCAAGGATCCTATATTACGATAGACTAAGTTATTTCTGGAAGACCGACCTAATCGAGTATAAATATAGAAGTTCTTAATTTCTCAAGGCATTCAAAAAATCATCTCTCGAGACCTAGGGCAAGCTAGCAATCTTATCATTCTTAGTTCTCGATTTTCTTCCCTTAAAAATTTAGGTCGGCATTTTTATTCCAACGACCTAAACCTCCGTGTATCATCCGAGCTCCGGCTTTATCTTCAATTTAAACTCACTAACTATTGTTCTTTCTATATATCAGATTTGAGTATTACAATATTTATCTTTTCAAGTTTCAGGACTATATATTGATTTGCCTATATATATGAATCATTTATTCACTGTGTTTTAAATTAATAGATGCCTTAGAAAAAAAACAAATTATTTTGAAAATATTATGTTTCAAATTTTTATATATTTTTTTGTAAGTTAATATTGATTGGTCGTAAACTTAAAATTGAGTTTATTGAATTACTATTGGCTTAAGATTATAGAAATTTTTAATTACAAAAAATTATACACTTATAACCAAATCTCTATTTACTTTCTTAATACAGTATATGTGAGATTTATTTAGAGTTATTGGTTCTTGTATTTCAATGAATTTAGAAATCTTCTTTGGATTTGTAAACCTATTGATTTTAACGTTAAATCTTGTATTTGGATTTTTGTATTTTAACATCAAAATCCTTTTAAATCCAGTCAAATTCATTTAAAACTAAAATCCTTATAATATTTAGATTTTAAAATTATAGAACCAATAATACTGTATTTCACTATGGATTTTAAAACTATAGAACCAATAACACTGTATTTTAATATAGATTTTAAACTACAAGAACCAATAACACTGAATTTAGTTTGAACTCTCAAATCCATTAAAATACAAGAACCAAGAACCCTTACTTATAATTGTATTAATTTGAAACAGAAAAATTATGGCGGAGGGTATTCAAAATAGAATTTAGAGTGATTTGTATTAAAATCACAACCCTTCTGTTATTGAACCATAAATTTTAAAAAGCTGTTTAAAATTCAGTGTTATTGAACTAGTGATTTGGAAATATATCTTCAAATTCACTGTTATTGTAAATAATTTAAGTACGGGGTTTTATGACACTCGAAGTGATTTTAAGATATTTTGATGAAATTTTCTAGTTAAAAATATAAGAATTTAAATATCATGGTTTTGGATAAAATTTGATGGAATTTTGATATCAAATCATAACAATTTCCATAATTCAATCAAATCATCTAAAACTCGTTAAAACTCATATCATTCCAAATCATACAATATGTTATCTAAGCGGGGCTTTCCACGCTAAGCGGAGAAACCCAAAAAAAAAAACTTATGGTAAGTAAGTACAGACCGTTTAGGGTAAAATGTGAATCAATAAAAAAACTTATGGTAGGTAATGTGAATCGATAATTTCCATTTAATACATTATATCGCACGTGAAAAACAACGAGGGATTTTCACGACCACAACAATGTCTTTTATGATTGTATCAACGATACTGTTTAATAAATTAATAAATAAAAATTATGATATCAATTATTACTAGCACTATAAATAACGTAGCCTCGCTCTAGCTTGCATGACTCACAAATCAACTTGTCGCTTCTTTCTTCTTATTTTTGGGCAAAGAATTTCTCTTCTATTCATTTTGTGAAAATGTCCGAAACCAAAATGAAATTCTGCAAAAGTCATTTTCTGGTCGATCCGACCAAAGCAAGTGTTCTTGATCTCCTTCTTCTTATTTTTTCCCCAAATCTGACCAGCAAAAGATTCATAGATTCTCCACCGGATACGCTCAAAAGCGCCCGGAGAACTTTCGCGAGTCGATGGATGATTGCTTTGGCCATTTTGGTTCAAAAAATATTAATATTCATTAGAAAACCTTTGGAATTCATAGGTTATTTGCTCACCTATTGGCCCAATCTTCTTACGGCAAATGGAGGCTTCTTTAACGTGTTACTTCACCTTTTGACAGGTGAGAAATCTAACTATAACACACTTTTACTCAATATATATTCTTCTTTTTTTTATTGAGAACTTCATTTCATGACTCAATATATCCACTTGTCATTATTAATTACATTGAAGAAGGTTTTAGTTGTTTTCCATCCTGTACATATGACATAAGTATCCCGGAAAAAACAGCAGCAAGATCATTTCAAAGATCTCAAGGAACATATATCATATTATAATAACCCCCTCGGACTTTTGAAGTTGGCCAATATGACACTGATTTGTGACAAAATAAGGATTGTTCTATTTCTATTTTCTACATGCAAGACGTAGCACACAATTTAATATATATTTTTTTTATGACAAATTGCATTAAGAGCTTCTTATGGGGAAAAATGGGGGAAAAAAGTCTAGTCTTCTAGGATTGAAAGACATTATATCATTTTCTATTCTTTTTGTTACAGGAAAGTTGGTGAAGCCCGACGAATCGTCGGTGACATATGCTTCGTTTATAGGATGCACAGATCGAAGAGTAGAGCTTGACGAGAAGATAAATGCTGGTACTATTGAATACAAGTCCATGTTGTCAATAATGGCTTGTAAGATCGCTTATGAAAACAAATCTTTCATCACTTCAGTCGTTAAGAACACTTGGAAGGTTAGCTTCATTTCTTCCTCCTCTTCTTCTTTATTTATTAAAATATTTTCCTCTTTCGTATTAATTAAGTGTATGTCATATCAATGGACAATGGTAATCATACAAATATTTTTTTCCACTTCCTAACAACATTTTTTAATTATAATTTTGTTTTATCGACAATTATTTTTAAATTATAAATAATAGCAAATAATCTACTAGATCTCCTAGCCTCTTAGTAATACTGATTTCATAAATTTGAGATATTTATATATATATATATATATATATTTCTGACTTTTGTTCACTTCTCACTCTCTCTGTATGAATCTGTCCTGTGATGCAGATGGGCTTCGTGGATTACTACGACTTTTACAACGGTAAATTAAATGCTACTCTTTATTATTTCTAGGAAATGCTTTTCTTTACTCATTTTGGGCCATTATGCGTTATTAGAATAATTTAACTGCTTTGAGTGTGTAATTAATAAAGCCTACATTTAACAAAAAAAAATTAATAAAGCTTACATAATTCGGTTAATACAGAAAACATAACCTTCTAGATATATAAATAGATGTAAATCATATTAGGATAGTAAAAATGGGTAAATTTCCTACCAGTGAATAAATTATATGAATGCTTTTTCATTATGTCTCTTTTGATTATACTATAGAAATAGGTCAACCAGATCATGATGATATAAATGCCAAATTGGTCTCTATTCCATATCGTGTTGAAAACTTGAAGTAAATGAACAACGGACCCTACTAATCTTAAATGAGTCGTCTGACGGATAAATAATACTTCCAGCGTACTTTAATGAATTTAGAAGTAGATGTAAAAGAAAATGATTTAAAAGTGGGAATAAAAAGGGCTTAGGTAAAAAATTGTTCAGTATATATATCGGAGTTTTTGTAGATTCCAACTAAATATTGCAATATATAGTCTAAAAGTTTACAATTTCAGGTTTCTTTTTTTTTATCAACTATTTATTATTTTACTTTGTTAAAGTAGTTTTAGTAAACCTAGTGCTATAGCTTATATAATGGACTCAGTGTTATTATTTTTTAGTTTTTACTGCATTAACTTGATGAGGCTCAGTTAGAAATTTGATGCGTAAAATTAAGTAATATTGGATAATCCATTTAGTTGACAAAAATTAACAGTACTCCTTTCATTTGATGTTAAAATTAACAAAAAATAAATTAATGTTTCATTTTAAGTGATATTTTATATTATAATGGAAAATTAAATTTAGACAATAAATAATATTTTACTTAAAGAGAACACAAATCATATTGATTTTTTTTAATGTGTATGGATACAGAGTTGAACAGAGTGATAAGAAAGTTCATTTTATCAATAGCGAATGCCATATTAATTTAATGTAAGAATTTATTTATTAGGGCCCTGATAAGAACTGATTTATAGATTCATTTTCCATCTACAAGTGAGCATGTATAACTAGTACAAAGTACTAGGGATGTTTACGCACGACGCACGGATTGTTTTTATATAGATATTTGATTATTATTTAAGTTAAATTATTTTTACTTTAAGTTAATATTTTAAATATAATATTTCATTTTTTAAAAATTGTTTTGATATGATTATACATCAAAAATATTTAACGTATTCAAAAAATGTATCATAATATAATTTTCAGAATTACCTACTTGATATATGCTAAAATTAACTGTTAATCTAAAACTTAATATTTGTATATAAACTCACTGTTATTCACTACTAACTTTCAAAATATTATTAAAATTATTTTTGTTTTGACTAAATTTGATTATTATTGTTCCAATTAATTTAGATTTTTATTTTTATTTCAACTGTGTTCGTGTAGTGTTTTTATTTAATTAGCAATCTCAAATACAAACAACACTCAATAGTCTAATCTCTTATAAATCTATAAAATAACTATGATTCATATAAATAAAAATAATATTTACATAGTATAAAAAATCACAATCATATTGATAAAATGCAATTTTGATTTGGTTTATGAAGTATACGTAAACTATAAAAAATATAGATGAATAAGGCAAGTAATACATATACAAATACAATTTCATACTAACTCATTATGTTAAATAAAGTATGTTGAGTTTCTCAAAACTCAAACGATGTAAAAAAATTTGCTTGTAATTTAACTTAAACATTTTTTCTTAAACTACACATATATATTTTGATGAGTCTTTATAATTAAACTAATAATATATATTATATTATTTTTAAATGAGTTTCTTAACCCAGTAAAAAAAAATCATATTAGCTTTTCATTCAAGTTGGGTTTATAAGGAATTTTGTTGATGTGGATAATTAGAGATTTTTTTAGACATTTTCTTCTACATAAAAATGTGTATGTTATTTTTTCAAAAATGCATTATTATTTAATTTAAAAATTTACTAACTTGATATATATATAAAAATTAACTGTCATCTAAAACTTAATTTTTGTTTATAAACTGTTTAACTCATGTGTTGACATCTATTGCTTGTAGTAACTTGACTACCTTAAGCCAACTAAGACACACATTGAATAAATATCAGTGCATGAAATTTTTCTTTTGTCTATCATTTTCTGCAATGTAAATAGTAACGATGATCGAAATCTTCATATAGATAGATGCTTTGAAAAGCTTCCTATAATTTCTGTTGTCTTGTTAGTTGCCTTAAATCTAACGTACTATGATGTTTAATCTGTATGTTTCTAAAAGGTGAATGTTTTAGATTTTTATAGTTTGTAAATTTTTTAAATTTTATTTTAGAAATTATTATTTTGTAATCTTGTTTCTATTAACTATTATTTAATTTTTTTAGAGCAATTTGTTGTCCAATATATTCACTATATTACAAAAGGAGTATATATTAATGCTACAGATTTAAATGATATTTATTTTAATGATTTAGAAAATGATATTTAGTTTTATTTACTTATTCCTAATAACTATATTAACTTAGTGGTTCTATTTATTTATTTTATGTGTTTTCAAAAGATATAAAGTGAAATTTTTTATTATTGTTATATTACAAACAAAAGAAGTATATATTGATGCTATAAATTTAAATGATGTTTATTTTACTGATTCAAAAAATGATATTTTAATTTTATTTACTTTTGTTGGTAACTATATTAATTTTAGTGACAAAAATGAGTATATATTAATGCTACAGATTTAAATGATATTTATTTTACTGATTAAAATGATATATAGTTTTATTTAGTTTTTGCTAATAACTATATTAATTTAATGGTTCTATTTATTTATTTTATGTGTATTTCAAAAAATCTAAAGTGAGAATTTTCATTATTGTTAATTTGTTATATTACAAACAAAAGAGTATATATTGATGCTATAGATTTAAATAATATTTATTTTACTGATTCATAAAATAATATTTTATTTTTATTTACTCTTGTATTTAACTATATTAATTTTGGTTCTACTTATTTATTTTATGTGTATTTCAAAAAAATCTAAAGTGAGAATTTGTATTATTATTTTTTGCTGATGTGTCATATTTTTAGAGTAGTTTGAAAAGCTGAGGTGGATAGCTTAAGGAGCCCTAAATAGTTCCTTTTATTTAGTATAGATAAGATTACCTGTTCCCAATTAAAATTTTAAATATATTTAAATTTCAGAAAAAGAGTAATAATGAAAAATAATTTCACAGTGAAATCCATATCTACTGTAAATTTTACAAATACGTAGAATAGTCAAAAAAAAATTTACATATTATTTTTTATGATTTCTGTCTCAGCTAGGTGCAGCTGTATGCTATTTTTTTTCAAACGAAATTAGATGTATGCTAGTTTTCCAACTAAAATTCAATATATTATTTGCACTTTTTTATTTACTCATTTTTAACCATATATTAATTTTTTATACAACAAAAATGTGACTAAAATAAGACTGGGGGCACAAAATCAAAATTAACGTGTTTTGTCCGAGTTTAGCGGCCAAGCAAAATGCTGCATTATATATTAGATCGATTTAACGAATTGTATCAAAAGATACTCTTTACTCCATGAAACAGAAGAAATATAGATTAACAACAAGAACTAGTTTGTTTGGCAAGCAGGAAATTTTGGTATATAAAATTCCTGTTTGAGAAACCTTGAAATAATTTTTTTTTCTTTTCGTATAACACCTTGAAATATTTTGAACAAATCTAATTATCATTTGAAAAATGTCGCTAAATTCTAAGGTTATTTATATTTGTGGTCAGCGTTCCAAGAAAGAAAACTGACGCAAGCCTTCATGTTCAAGGCCTCGAGCACAGATCCGAACCTTATCGTCGTCAGCTTCAGAGGAACCGAGACTTTCAGCTCTGATGATTGGTGTACTGATCTCGACATCTCTTGGTACGTAACTACGTATATATATATATATATGTATATCAATTTAATACTTTTCTTAGATCCTACATCATATATTTCCAAATGTAAATTAGGTACGAGTTGAAGAACGTTGGCAAAGTCCACGCCGGGTTTTCGAAAGCTTTAGGTCTCCAAAAGAACGGATGGCCCAAAGAAATCATAAGCCTCACACACCAATATGCTTACTATACTATCAGACAGAAGCTTAGGGAAATGCTTGCTAGAAACAAGAACCTTAAGTTTATTCTAACGGGTCATAGCCTCGGTGGCGCAATAGCTGCTCTGTTTCCGGCAATTCTTGCTATTCACGGCGAGGATGAGCTACTAGATAAGCTAGAAGGAGTCTACACGTTTGGACAGCCACGTATAGGAGACGAGGAGTTTGGGGAGTATATGAAGAATGTGATGAGAAAGCATGGAATAGAGTATGAGAGGTTTGTTTATAACAATGATATGGTGACTAGAGTCCCCTTTGATGATAAGATTCTATTCGGATTCAAGCACTATGGATCTTGCAATTACTTCAACAGTCTCTACAAAGGAAAGGTAAATTAAAGCTAAATTATTTAACAATACAGAAAACAGTGGAGATAAAAAATGGGCAAGAAGAAACTGTAATTTGGCCTTTAGGAGAATTGTCATTTTTCACATGAAATTGACATGATAGAGATAAAAGCCTTTACTTATAAAAAAACTTTCTTTTTGGTCGACAGTACTGATAATTAAAACGGTTTGGAGATCTATAGAACACGAGCACTATATTTTTTATTTTATTTTTTGTGCAGCACGAGCACTATATTGTTATTTACAAAACTTGGTGAATGAAAATTTTGTAGATACGGGGTGGTTCATTTGTCACCGTGATATTAAAAAATTGCATGAATTTCGCATATAATTTTTTGATTTATCATGATATTTGATGTCATGAAACGTTATGTTACATAATACTAGTTTTTTTTCTAAAACAAATACGAAAAATAGACCGCTTATTGATGAAATGTCACCGCAATTTCTTAGTTACATTCATTCACATGTTTATGGATTTGAAGGTAAGGGAAGATGCACCGAATGCAAACTACATGAGCTTGTTGTGGCTAATACCGAAGCTGTTGAATGGTGTGTGGGAGTTTATAAGGAGTTTCATAATAGGGTTTTGGAAAGGCAAAGAGTACAATGAGAATTGGACGATGAGATCTGTTAGGGTTATGGGAATAATATTACCTGGTGCATCTGACCATTTTCCACGTGATTACGTTAATTCCACTCGCTTGGGAGGCTTGACTCGACCTGTTGCTACTCCTGAGGATAAACTTGCCCTCATTGCTTGAAATAATTGTTTTCCACATTTAATAATATCATGAGCTGTCACGCTATCAAGTCAAGCAGAAGAAAGGCCAAGGCGTGCATGAGGAAACACAATTCCTGATATATAATTAATGGATGAATTCACTTACTTGTTGTTATTTCATTTACTTGCTTAATAAGAGAAGGAACACTCCTTATTGTTTTTCCCACTTCAGTTGTTATTTTCTTGTCTTTAAGAATCGAATAGTTCTACTTTCTTTTCATATAGACAACAACAACAAAAATAAAGGCAAAAAGGTTTCTTTCCAAAAAGATACTTGCAATTCTGATCATATGTTTTTTTGGAACCTATCATTTGGTTCAAAATAGTTAATTTCTTATATATTTATTCATAAAAAAAGCCAAACCAGTTACCTTGATTCAGACCACCTTAATCCACATATTAAAACAGGAAAATTGTACTTATGTATGTTTTTAAAATTTTATATCTATTTGCTCACACATGATAGTATCATCAATTTAATAGTACAGTATATGATAATCTATAATTTCATCATTTGACCCCCCAAAAATTTTTACAGCTTCATTAACTTATTGCTTCCGTTCTAGAGTAAGTTATACCAATGAATCTTAGTTTTCATAATATGGAAACCCCTATTTTGATTTTATTGTATTGATGTTTATTAAGTGGCAAAACAAAAATTGTTGTCTTATATACTAATTGTAGAGTATGGACCAATAATTAAACCTAATATATGTAAACATAATACGCTTTGGAATTTATAATTTTTACTAAATCTATATTAATAGTTTTGTTTTATGTCTAAAGGGTTTAGCGCAGAGCCAAATTAGATGAGACATTTCCTGATAATCTGCGCATTCCTAGAGAATACAAACTGTGTAGAGATTGGTAAAAGTGGTTTTTGGATAAATAAGTGACTTTGCCCCCGAGAGAGTTTTTCTTGGAAGAATTTATTCACACCGTTTTTATGGTTTATAGGCGATGGAGACCCCTTCCTTCTTAATTGATTTTATAGAAAAGGTGTAGCTCCGTATGATCACAAGAATCGAGACAAGGCATCAATACTTATGAGACATCTGCCCAAGAACTAGATCTGGGCGCGGAGCAGATATCCAGAAAATTTTGAATATTTGTGGTTTGCTCCATTTTTACCGGATATCTGATTTGTGATTTGTTTTGCTTCGAAAAAATACGGATATCCAAAAATGCGGATATCTAAAAAATTTACAAATATTTGCGGATATTTACGGATATTTACGGATACTTATGGATATTAAATTTGTTCCATTCAATACAAGTAAAAGGTAAAAATACATGCTTTTCTTTTTAAAATATGAACTACCAATTAAAAATAAGTAAAATAACTATTTTTGTTTCAAAAAAATGGATATAAATAATAAATTATAATGATAAAAAGAAAAACTATGTTTTATATTCTGAAAAGAATATTAATTAATTAAAACTCTAATATAAACTTTTCTAATTTATTTTCAAATATTTGATAACTATTGTAGATGTTTATTACTTACTTTAAAATTATTATATGTATTTTTATCATATATATTCTTTTTTTATTTGTTAATAAAATAATTAAACTATATAAAAACATTAAAAACTTATAATATTAATATGTACATATGTAATCTGCGGATCGGAGTGGATATCCAAACTTTCGAAAGTTAGTATTTGCAATTTGATTTGTTTTAGACGGATACTATATTTTAATATTTGCTTTGTTTTGAATTGTTACGGTTATCCGGATTTTTCAGATCGAATCGAAGCAAATAACGAATCGAATCAAATATAACGGATAATATGCCCACCCCTACCAAGAACTACGAGAGACACTTTGAGAGAGGAAAGATTTTCCTCATGTGCGGGGCATTAACAAAAAAGAACCTATTACTTTTTTGCATCATGTATATACCAACTTGTGGCAAAATGTGAGTTTAATTAACAATCAACCATAATTTATAAGTATTTTTGCAAGTATCTCGTGTTATAATGCTAAGCTCATCTAGTACTACTTCAGGCTAATAGATACATTAGCTCTCATGGTTTTCTTAAATTATCAAGCAATAAAAAAGGGTATAAATATAGATAAAATGTGTAAAAAATAATACCCAAATCGAACAATGTACAATCCAGTTGGAGAGCTAGCCGTTTAGGAAGGGATCATTTGACTCCTATAAATTTCTATAAAAATAAAATTTTACTTGCACTTTGAATATAAAATAAGTTAAATGTTTCAAAGTTAGTTTATTGATTGGATAAATTATGGTTAAAATCAATATAAATCCATGATAAATTTTAATCATATTTTATTATAAATTAAACTAACCTTAGTAAAAATTATGGCTGGCGCCACAAGTACAATTCATAAGATCTTTTTTGAATAATTTGTAAATTCAACTAAAGAAATTGCTCATACGTAATATACAAATATATGCAAGTTAAAAAGAATTTCATAATCATAAATAAAAAAAATTCTGTTAAAACCCCTCGAACTAAATTAATTTTATAAAAATAACTTTCATCCTAAATAAATACAAATCAATTTACTTACCTATAAAATCACCCATAATATAACCCTTTCGTCACGTTATGTTTAATGTTTCTGTTAATATTTTAACTAAATTCAAAACGACGCTGTTTCAATTAAAAAAAAAAATCTAAAAGCTTGGAAGATGAGATTCGAACACGTTACCACTAGGAAGAGGAAGATTTGAATTACCAGTCATACCAATTAAATAGTTATAAGGCACATTATGACACAAATATACTTAAATAATTACTTTTTATTTTTATTTTTTATTATCTTCTTCCCTTTGTGTTCTTTTTTTTTTCCCTTCCGTTTGTTTCAGTTGCATAATATACTAAATAGTTCTATTGGCAGTTTGGCACTATTGGTAATGCATCTCTTTGGTATTTTAGTTCGAATCTCATATTATAAAATTTTTAGAATTAATTTTTTTTAACCAAAACAACGTTTTTGATGTTTGTCAACAAATTAACAGAACCCTTAACCATCGACATCTATAATATAGAAAGAGAGTATATTACGGATGATGTTGTAAGTGACTGGATTGATATGCATTTTTTGGGGTGGAAATTATTCTTACCAAAAAAAAAAAAAATTGAGGGGCTTTAGCAGAAATTCCTAAATCAAAGTGAAAGAACAAGGATTTATAAAATTTCCCAATGACAAACATGATGAAATCTTCTCCTAATATAATAGAACAAAAAAAAACTATATGTTTCTGTGGTTTAAAAAAAAAAAACCTGTATATGATTGATGATTGTGGATGTTCAAAACCCTATGAAAAAGTATAAGATTTGGAGTATTCATAGCTGGTTTATTCCTCTTTCTTTTAGAAAAAAAAAGTTTAGGCCTTGTATTATTGGTCGAGGAGTTTCCTCGCAGAGACTAGGCCGCAATCGCCATCATAGAGACATTGGTTTTGGTAGATCTTGGTCCATCTCCCAACAAAATGCGCAAGCGGTTAAAAAGATATAGCGGCACACAAATTCAAAACGATCACTAGTCATCGATTAGCAAAAATTAATCAGATTTCCTTTTAGATATAAATTCAAAATCCTATACAATTTTTTAATCTTATACCAAAAAAATGGTCGATAATTAAAAAAAAGTATAATATTTTCTTCTTCTTGTGAAGTGTTCGATCGAAGACTTCCTATATTAATAACTGATCAGATCGGTCTTTTATGTCCGATTGAAATAAAAAAGTCTATTTGTCGACCAAACTAAATTTCCTTTTTTCCCAGGTTTGCTTGATAAATAGAATATATCCATTTATTTGACCGATCTGATACAGACGAAATGGACTGACCAGAATTAATATCGGACTTGTAAAGATGATACTAATCTCATCTCTAACAGTAAGTCCTTCCCCAGTTCGACAAATAAGGATACGTTACTTGGTGAATTTCAAGATGTTGCTCGATATAGATTCAGGTTGGCTGTCAAAAGAGTTAGAATATAAATTGAAATTTTACCTTTAATTCCTGATCGGTACGACGTCGCGGATCAGATGGTAAATTTGGGCACGGAAAACTCCCGCCAAAAGCATTGTAGAGAAAGGCCTAGGTCTATGCATGCAAAGCTAGGTCTGCGCATGCAAAACTAGGTCTGACACGTGTCAAACATGAGAGAGGAAAGACGAAGAGGCCGATTAAATATAATGTGAAGAAATGCGAAAGGTCGCCGATCTAATGATGACTTTCGATAACCATTCTCATTTCAGTATAAATAAGATGGGTTCGGTCCTCATTTCTTAACTTCTGCATTTTAGCGAAATTCTGTCAAAATCAGGTCTGCTCCCTTCTCTCTCTTCTCTGCTCTTCATTTATTTTAGTTAAAATTTTCTGGTTAGACCTCCGCCGTGTTTCATTCCAAGCGCCGTGTTTGATTTCTCCGATCCAGTTGAGACTCCGTCGCGATAATCAGATATGAGCAAGAGCGTAAAGATCAGTGAAGGCCGACCAGAGTCGAGGGCAATCAGATCGGCTCAAAAGAAGGCTGACGAGATTGGTGTCTCTTTAGGGGATTTTCTAGAAATGTCCCGAGTTGATGATAGCCACGGTACAGTCGTCATCAGATCGTTCTTCGGATGCGAGTGAGCTTTCGGCTCTTGACCGAGAATTTCAGGAACAAGTTTGGGAAAAGAATCAGCAGGCAACGACCGATCGATTCCACACCGATCAGGTCGGGGCTATCGGACGATCTGGAGAAACGTCATCGAGGGTTGAATTCGAGATTTCCCAGTTACGAGATGAAGCCGACGAGAGAGGAGGATCAAACGAGATCGATATCTCGGACGAGTTGAATGCCATAATCGTCGAGGATGAAGTCAACATGTTCAGGATTATCGACATGAACCCACCAGTGAAGAAGGTCAAAAAGCGAAAAGGGGAAAAGGTGATCAAGCCGACCTGCGATAATGCGCTTGGGGTGATGCCGACCAAGTCGACTATGGAGTC